GTACTCCTGCTGCCTCCTCTTCCAGAATACTGGGATCGCAGGCACTGTCTACCATCCTTGGTTTATGTCGTGCATTTGGGGTAGCAAATCTCCCAACTCAGTTCTGGTCCATGAAGCTTTAAAATTAATGTATATGCGCGTGTGTGTGTGTGAATATATAATGTATATATACATATACATTATTGCTACTTACACATTATTGTTATATATACACACACACACACATACACATATACACACACACATAGTGTAAGTAACAATAATTAATAATAATAAAAAAGGCCATGAATTTGAAAGAGTAAGGAGAGGTGTTTGGGATGGCTTTGAGAGAGGAAAAGAAAAGGGGAAAATGATGTAATTGTATTATCTCTAAAATAATTTAAAGAATTAATGTAACTATGTGCGTGATGGGGAGGATCAACCCGCTATAATCTGGCTGGCCACCAAGCTCTCGGGATCCACTGTGCTAGGGTTCCGTGCACACCTGGCCATCCTGGCTTCTATACAGATCCTACATATTATTTGAACTCAGGTCCTTGTGCTTTTGCAGTAAGCATTGTTACCCACTGAGCTATCTCCCTAGTCCCTAATTCTCCCCCTATTTTCATATTTAAAATTTTTTATAATGCTGAGGATTGAACTCACAGAATTAACATACTGCTAGGCAAGTCCCTGTCAGGGAACTGCACCCTTAGCTCCTCTTCTGGGTCTTATTTTGAGACTGTTTGTTGCCTAGGCTGGTTCCAAATCTTTGGTTCAAGTGATCCTTGTGTTTCAGACTCTTTGGGTGTTTAGGCTCCAGGTGCTCTGTGCACTTGTGCTTGGAGATATTTGAGCCTAGTGAGGTACGGGCTGTGACTTAACAGATATGAAACAAACATTTTAGACAGGATACAGGAGAAGAACCTAGATGAGAAAATAGGTGATATTACTCAAATGTAAAAGCAATAAAAATTGTGTGAAAATAACATTTATGATGGAGATTGTATGTGGAATAATGAACATGAAAATTTGTTGGCACAGAATGTTAAAAGCTGGTATTGATATTGGAAGCAGCGTGGGCTTTGAAGACAATGATACTATAAACAGGATTTTTAAAACATGTGAGAGTAGAAAGGAGTGGAAAAACTGGAGACAGCAAAATCATTGGTCTTGGCATTACTAAAAATGTTTACAGTTTATTTCTCCGTGTGTGCATGCATATGTGCATCATGGTATGCATTTAGAGGTCACATTGCAATGTAAAAATGGGTTCTCTCTACCATGTGGCTCTCAGGGTATCAAGTTTGTAAACACATACCTCACTGATCTGAAATTATTAGACTTTGCAGAACTTGGTGCCAATCTTGGATGACGATTTATATATATGTGTGTGTGTGTATATATATATAATATATATGTATAATATATATGTATATATATATTAGACCTGCATTTATGTCTGTACCACATACATGCAATATCACAAAAGAGTAAAAAAAGCAATTACTAAGATTTTTGCTGTTACTATAGCTTATGGGAGAGATGTGGGACAGATGAAAAAAGATGATGGGGTTAAGTTTAAGTTATGAGAATAGTAAAACTAGGCTTTTTAAACAAAATACAAGTAGAGTGTATATTTAGGAAAGTATAGGTTACAAAAAATAAGAAATAGAGCTAGAAACATGGCTCTGCAGTGAAAGGGTTCTTGCTGCTTTTCCAGAGCACTTCTTTACTCATACAGTATTTGTCTTCTCACTGTCAAACTTTGAGCCAGCCACTTTCCCCAGACATATTCGGGTGGGGTGGGAGTAACAGAAAAATGGACATAGAGGGCAGGTGAGACACGAGAGAAGCAGCTGTGGGAGATGGAAGTGGAGACAGCTGCTTCTTCTAGATAGGAGGGTGACAAAGGCTAACGTTAGGCAAAAGAACCCATTGCTTCTCAAGGAAGTCCAGATGTGAGTAGAAGAGCTCGTTTGAGTTCCCCCAGACCAGCTTCAGGCCAGCCATCCAAGTGTGACAGCCCCCATCCCAGTGAACTTGGCTGCTTTGTTAATTTCTCTTGAAATGGTGTTGGTTGGTTGGTTAGGAAGCTGTGGCTAGGGATGAGTGAGGTCAGAGGATGTGGGACTGTCAAGCTTCCGAGGCTCTTAATTTTGAGTGTTTGTCAGTTCAGTACCACTGCAGACACCAAGGAGATTGTAGAGGTGAACTTGGAGCAGGCATACCTTTTAGGGGGTGAGGGGACCAAGGCAGGAGAGCTGTTCCTAGGGCAGAGAAGAAGAGCTACTTACTTTTTTGAGAGTCTCACTTTGTAACTCTGGCTGACTTGGAACTTGCTTTATAGACCAGGCTGGCCTCAGAGTCACAAGGATCCATCTTACTCTGCCATCATAATGCTGTGATTAAAGAATTGCATTTCATACCTGGCCCTTATTTTTAAATGTGTGTGTCTGTCTCTGTGTTTCATACATTGAGTGTAGGCACCTTTGGGAGGCTACAGGTATTGGATCCTCTTGTAACTGGAGTTATAGTCTCTTGTGAGTGGCCTGATGTAGATACTGGGGCCCAAACTCAGGTCCTGTAGAAAAGCAGCATGTGCTCGTAACCACTGTGCCATTTCCTCAGCTCTTCTCTGCTGGGAATTAAAATCTGGTTCCTGGAAGGTTACATACAATATTCTGCAAGTTGTTACATGCATATAGTAGATAAAAGTGATCCAATCTCAAAAAGTTTGGCAAATACTGAATTTATTTTTATTTACTTTTAGGTTGTTTTTGTTGTTTTGTTATAAGTGACAAGGTCAGTGTCTTTGTACATACATTTTTCTATTCATGGTATTTTGTAATGTAACTTAAGATCTATAGAATTGTGTCAAAGGATTTGCATTTCTTTTTCATTTTCTCTCTCCCCTCCCACCACCTTTGCTTAGAATTGAGACAGGGTCTCACTGTGTAGCCCTGGCTGGCTTGTAATTTTCTACATAGACAAGGCTGGCCTTGAACTCACAGAGATGCGCTTGCCTCTGTCTCCTGACTGAGGATAGGAACATTTAAAAAAAAAAAATGATGGTGGTGGTGGTAGTGGTGGTGATTAGGGTTAGAGAGATGTTAAGCTTATGCTGCTTTTGCAGAGGACCTGGGTTAGGTTTCTAGCATCCATATAACCATTCACAACCATCTGTAACTCCAGTTCCAGGGCACCCAGTGCCCTCTTCTGGCCTCATCAGGCACAAGGCACACATGGTGCACACATGTACTTGCCGGTGAAAACGCGCGTGCGCATGAATTAAAAATAAAAATAATGCTTAAAATACAAACCTGTGTTTGTGTGTTCTAAGTTCAGGTCATATTTCATTTATCTTATTTTGTATCTTATTTAAAATATGGGTCAAGGACATTTCCCATATTGCATGTATTTGTATAATACATGGACAGTCTTAGAACAACTGGTTGTTATGACTCTTTAGACCTTCAGAGTACGTTTATGCTGTACCCCACTGTGCGTGGCCAACTCAAGTAAGGGATCTGGACTAGTGGGAAGGCTTCTTGTAGTTGACACCTTTGAGGGCCCAGTACACACCGCCCCCTTTTCCACTTGAACCAATCCATGTGAGAGGAAAAAAAGCAGGCAGTTGGAGATCCACACCAGTGATGGTCATTACTGACAAAAATCGGGGTTGGAGGTGAGGTTTTTTTAGATGTACAGTGTAATCTTGTCTCCTAACGTTGACCCTGAAACTGCCCGAGGTGGGGATGACTGTGTCTTTGGACTATGTCCCCTTGCCTTATTTGTTGCGGTACAGTTCATTCTTTCTGTGGGACTCCCTGACTGTTGAGGGAGTCAGCTTTAGTTTTATACAGCACTGTGAGGTCTGTCCTGAAGACTGGCAGTTTGCTTTTGGCTGGGACCCTGAGGATCCTGAGGATTGATCGGCATAGGACGCTGCAGTCAATTATCTTAGCAGCAGTCACTCTGTTAAAGAAGTTGCTGCTTATGGGGGAATTAGTAGTTTGTAAAGAGCTGGACAGTATAGTGACCTGCTCAGACTTTTAATGTGCCATCTCACCTGACCACTACAGTATGTTAAGGTCTCTCTGGCATGCTCTGTTGTAGGCTTTGTCCTATTTTGAACCCATTCCATGCCTAGATTCTCTTGTGTTGGGAGAAGTACATAACTCATTTTATCTCGGAATGTCTGCCGTTCCCAACATTACTTTTTAGGACATAGGGCCTAATTATGAAATTGTAATGCCTCAGTTGTTCAGTCTTCTGAGATCAGGTAGGAGTTGCCTTGTACACAATGAATGAGATAAGGGCACTGGTCCTGGTTTGTTTTGCTTCTAGGAATGAGAATTGGGTACTACCTGAATTTACCATAGACCCTTTGTTCTCTTACAACTGTGTGTGCAACTACAAACAGGTTTTTCAGTAAACAGCACAATCCCAGGACTTATATTGTGATCAAATAACTTGTAACATATGTCTGGTGCCCAAGGAGTCCAGAAGAGGGCATTGGGTCCCTGGGAACTGTAGTTCTGAGCCTCCATGTGGGTGCTGGGAACACTGGTTCTATGTAAGGGCAGTAAGTACTCTTAATCTCTGAGCCATTTCTCCAGTCCTGACCTTGAACTCTTGAGCAATTAGAATACTCCATATCCCCAGTGTTAGAATTATAGGTATGTACTGCCCTGCCCAGCCTGACCTCTAAAGTTAATTTTTGTTTATCCATATGCAAGAATATATGGTAAAAAGACAACCCTCCCCCAGATCCTAGATTAACAGTATACTAATTGTGCAATTTTAGTGTTTTGTTGTAAAAAGACACTTGTGGCTTTGGTTAAAGCTATTTCTACTTTTGGCTTAAGGTAAATTATCTGTTTGGCTTACAACTGTAACTCCAGTTCCAGGGGATCTGACACTCTCACACAGCGTGTCAGTTCATGTAACATAAAAACAAACAAGTCATTAAAAATATATTTAAAAAAATTATCTGTTTTGTTTTCTTTGTTCTTTAGGGTTATACATCATTTTGGAATGACTGTATATCATCTGGATTACGTGGCTGTATGCTAATTGAATTAGCCTTGAGAGGAAGGTTACAATTAGAGGCTTGTGGAATGAGAAGAAAAAGTCTTTTAACAAGAAAGGTAAGAGGACTTTTAAGGAATAACCCTTTTATAACAATTTGTTCCGTATAAATGGTGAATATTTCTAATAGCTTTAAAGTATTTAAATAGTTTAAAATTGTCTTTTGGATTTTATTCTTGGTTTTTTGGTTCTTTGCATATGTAACAGTTGTCACTCACTGTTAAGATTGATGACCATTACATCTTAGGAAGATGGCCATTTTTATTTGCTTTTGAAAAATTAATGAGTTTGAAGACCTTGAAACAACTTAAAAACCAGGAGTTTTGTGGAACTCAGTTACTTACAGGATGTTAATCTTTTTGTAAGACTGTGATTGACTTTTACCTCTTCCCGCTGTTGAAGGTGTGTGTAGGTGCTTCTGTGGTAGAACAGCAATATATATGCTAAGTTTTGTATTTTTAACTTCAGCCGCAGCCTCAGATATTCAAGATTGTTTCTCTTCCAGTCTACTTTTATGCTTTGGACATGGTATTTCAAAACCATTTTTCCTTTAGTAATTTTGTTATATTTGTAAATCTGAAAGTTAAGCTAGAACCAAACATCTCATTGTCACTAGTTTTTTTTAAGGCAGGATTTCTCTGTGTAGCCTTGGCTGCCCGGGATTCACCTTGTAGACCAGGTTGACCTTGAAATCACAGAGTGCTGGATTACAGGTGTGCACCGCCCGCCTGGCTGCTGTTTAACTTCTTAAAACAGTCTTTACTTTTTAACCAAGGCTGACCTGGAGCTCACTGTGCAGCTCATGCTGGCCTTGACCTACAGGGTCTTCTGCTTCCGTCTTCAGAGCACTAAAATTACAAGCCTGTGCCTTCATTTCTTATTCTGACCCCTGTCTGACTGATAAATCCAGAGAATGATGATTTGATAAGAAGGAAAGCCATTAATGTGTTGCTGGAAGTTACATGCTAGGTTGGAGTGAATGAAACGCACAGTGAGTGCTTCTGTAGCATGTGTGTGGGGCTCTGGGTTTGAGCTTGGTATAGGGTGAGTAGGGCAACAAGGGCATATTTGTTATTTTGAGTCAGGGTCTTGTTAGGCTGAATTTAGGTCCTCTTGACTTAATCTCTTGAACTGCTGATATTACAGGATAACACCGTAGAAGGCTGTTATTGTAGTTAATAGTAAAATATATACAATAAAATATATACACGGGAAACTTTTCATTAGGGTCCTGACCAAAAGCAAAAATTGTGTGCTAACAAGTGTCAGTTTGGGGGCCTGGGGAGATGGCTCAGCGGTTAAGAGTGCTGGCTGCTTTTCCACAGGATCTGGCCTTCAATTCCCAGCACCCTCATGGCAGCTCACAACTGCCTGAAACTAGTTACAGGCAATCTGACATCCAGCCATACATGCGGGCAAAAGACCAATTCATATAAAATAAAATAAAAAAATTTAAAAACCGTCAGTTTCGTGTTGTGCATGAGAAGAGCCATAGACTGGCAATCATCTGTTCATGTATTTGGTGTGTATTTGGTGTTTAAGTGTATCATGCACTGTGCTAGATTCTGGAATACAGTTGTGGTCAGGAGAAATTGTTCCCCAGCTGTATGGGCTTATTAAGTCAGTCCAGTTCTGAGTGATTTGAAATAGATAATGTTGGAAAAATACTCTATATGATTTAATAAGTTGATATTTAAAAACAATTGTTGATTTAATTAAGATAGTAGCTGTTCTTCCTGGTTCTTTAGTTCTCTTCCTGAAAGCCAACTATTTTATTAGGATTTTTTTTTTTTTTTTTTGGTTTTTTGTTTTGTTTCTAAGACAGGTTCTGTGTAGTCCTATCTGACCTGGAACTTGATACATATACTAGGCTGCCCTCGAACTCATGGAGACCCTCCTGCCTTTACCTCCCGAGTGCTGTAATTAAAGTCACCTTAACAAATGACCACAATCTTAGTGGCTTTAAGCAACAAAGAATTCTATGTTGGAGGCCAGTGAGGGGATGTAATTCTGTTGTGTTTTTTGAAGGCTCTAAGGGAGAATCTGCTTGTATCAGGGTTTGGTTGTTTTGCTCTTGTTCCTTAGCTTCTGTCCACATCTGTGCTTATGGCCTGCCTCATGTCACATCACTGCTGCACAACTGACCTTGGGCCTCTCTGTTAAAAGACTGCAGCTCCCACAGGGTTTCTTGTTTTGTGAATCTAATCTTTTCTATTCAATCTTCAGGGCCTTTTTGAAATCTTCTATCTGTGTAAAGCATTTCCTCAGAGTTCTTGTTTCATCTTCTTTCCATCTCTTCTGTGTTAGAGGTAGCAAGAATTTATTGAAGTAGAGCCTATTTCTTTAGAAGCCAAACATATTCTTGAAAATTTTAAAGGAGTTTAGAACTTGTTTGAATCTCTGATTAGTTTTGAGCAGGGGCAATGAAATGTAGTAAGATATACCTCCTGAGGAACTCAGTATGGAACACGGGGCTGAAAGGGCCAGGAAGTGTTGCCCTCATGCAACACTGCAGTGTTGGATTGGAGGGGTGGAGCAACTGATGGCTGGGGAGGCTGCCTGTGTGTAGCCACTGCTAGACTGCCCACACTCTGAGGGGTAGCCTCACACCTATATTCATACAGGCAACACTAGGCAGAGGCAGTGTGTTATTTAAAAGTAAGTGTGTGTGTGTGTTGCATTAAGGTGAGAGGGGAGCTGTTGGTAGGGAGGGGATGTGAAAAATTTAGGTTGGATATGATCAAGTTACATTGTATATATGCTATGAAATTATCAAAGAATAAAAGCACACCTAAAACATTTAAAAAGTTCAAGGCCTCGAGTCAGGAGACTACAAGTGAAAAATGGTCAGACTTGTGGGCTGAAATCCTGGCAAAGATAATGAAAGAAACGACACATGTGAGAAAGGGCTAGAGCAGAACCTAGAAAAAAATTATCTACCTGTATTTTGGTTGTTCTGGCCCTGAAAGATCACTTGGCTCAAAGCGAGGTGTTTGAGCAAGGTAATTGATGAGGCTAGATCCTGGCCATGTGAAGAGTGGGAGAGAGTGAGAGGAGGAATAAGTAGGTCACATGCCTAAAGCATCACAGACTTAGGATTCTTTTCTCTTGAAGTTCTTTTTCTCTCCCATAAGCCTTGGTCTAACTCAGCACCACAGAATGAACATTGTGTATCTGCACTGCCCAGTATAGTAATCATGCTGCTTTCATAAGTTGATCTGGACTGTCAAAACACAATGGAGTTTTAAAAACAGTATTGGTGAAAATACTAAATATCTCAGTCTTCAAACAATCTGTTAGTCTAATTTTGGCCATACTGGATTAAATCCAATATTTAAAAAGTCACTTTTTCCCTTCTTAAACCTTGGCATTATGGTTGTATATTTTTCTTGTGTAATGCTGAGGAATAAGATCTTATATATTTTAATATTTTGTGAGATAGAGCAAAAGAAAATGATTCCTTTTTGAAGAAAATGTAAGACAACAGTCACATTTTAAAAGTAAAATATTTTAATTTCACAACATTTTTAATAGCTACTGTAAGTTACTGTAATAGGTTAAATTTTTGGTACTACAGAATTTCAACTAGAAATGTGTTGCTTGGGAGATACATGAGGGAAGCCTGTGGGAAACCCAGGGTGGCTGAGCAGTGTGACAATATGAAGCTCCTTTCTTACCATACCCCTGAGATTTTCCATATCTTTCTTGCCTTTGAGGTTTATTTATTTTATTTTATGTGTCATTTGCATATATGTCTATGCAACACTGCATGCTGCAACTGCAGAGGCCAGAAAGCATCAGATCCCCTGGAATTGGAGTTACAGGCCAGCTGCTGTGTGGATGCTGGGAGCAAACCTGAGTCCTGGAAGAGCAGCCAGTGTGCCTAACTCCTGAGTCGTCTCTCAGTCCCTTTTCACTGTTGAGATTTTAACCCAGTATAGGTTTCAGTTACAGATTTAGAGCCTGTCCTTATCTCCTCCTTCCCCATCTCTGATCCTCATCCTCTTGGTGCTGGAGATTGAGTAATTGTACATAATCAAACTTTTTGATGATTTCATTAAGGCTTCTGCTAGCAGTGGCAGTTTTAAAAAGTCTTTGTTATTCCTAAAACTATTTCCCTTCATATCCTTTACTGAGCATATGCTCAGGGGAGCTATTTCTTAATTTTGTTTTCTTGTCAAAGTTTCCTTAATGACGTTTATTGAGAAAATTAGTTTCGTTACTTATGTGAAATGTCTTTAGTATGCTGAATTCTTCTGTATAGTGGAATCTTTCTTCACGTAAGAATGTTTTAATGAATGAATTTTTGTGTTTAATAGTTCAACATCAAATGGAATCGTAGTAAGGATAAAGTCTCCGAGCATGAAATGTTTGATAACTTACTTGTTTTTCATGTAACAAGTTTATGACAGGAAGACGGTTCCAGTGGATCATTTCTGACTGCTTGTGTTTTAGGTGATCTGTAAATCAGATGCTCCAACAGGAGATGTTCTTCTCGATGAAGCTCTAAAGCATGTTAAGGAGACTCAGCCTCCAGAGACAGTCCAGAACTGGATTGAGTTACTTAGTGGTAAGCTGATGTATTAAAAAGTAAAACACTGAGTTCTGTCTAGAGAAGTTTGTTTAGTTACTTGTGGAAATATGGCGGGGATGATAATTTTTCAAAAATTCTATCTCTGGAGCTGGGCATGGTATCATACACCTTTAATCCCAGCACTCAGGGAGGCAGAGGCACATGTGAGTTTAAGGCCAGCCTGGTCAACAAAGCAGTCCAGGACAGCCAAGGCTACACAGAGAAACCCTGTCTTGAAAAACAAACAAACAAACAAACAAACACCCCCAAACAAACAAAAATTAAAGTTTCCTTTTACACGTGAGAGCAGATATTGAATAAGCTAGATATTCTTTCTTCAAGCTTTCATTGTGTTTGTTTGTTTTGAGTCATGGTCTCCTCAGTATGTAGCCCTGGCTGAACTTCAACTCAGATCTACCTGCCTTTGCTGCCTAAGTGCTAGGATTGAAGGCCTGTACCACCATGCTTGTCTCCAATCATTCTTTATGGAAATTATCGGTACAGTTTGCTTTGTTCAGAGCAGTCCAACCTGTGAGGATGTCAGCACTAACTGTAAACTATCTCTTGATCTTATATTATGTGCACCAGTGGCTCATTGGGCTCGTCCAGTCTGGTGGCTAGTGTCTTCATAACCTCATTTCCTTTGACAGTGCCTGTACCCCACACCAGTATTGACCTAAGAGGTTGAGTTGATAAGATTGTTGTATACTTAACTAGTTAACATTGTGTGGCTGCTGACTAAATTTGCTTTTCAACTTGAGTTGCTGTTGCTGGAGTGAGCATTGAAGAGATATGGCATCTCTAAGCTTTCACCCAAAGTATTGAAATACAATAGGATATCTATTGGATTTGGTCAGAATTCAGGAGGCAAATATTGAGACAATACCGTCTGCTTGTAGATTAGCTACAAATACCAGAATGTTCCGATTAGCACATATTATTATTAGGTATATATTAGGAATGAGTTGCGATGTTGCCATGAAGGAAGGGGGTCCATCTTAGGAGGAGGAGAAAACTAAGCACATTGCTAGTTTGGAAGTTGTGGTTGGAGCTTAGTGATGGAGTGCTTAATTCTGTGTGCATGGCCCTGGGAAAGAGAAAAGAAAAACCTGCGTCCTACTGAGCACATGTATCAGATTGCAGTGCAGCTTGCCAGTTAGTAACTAAGGTTTTTATCACATTTATTATAGTGTAGGTTGGGCTGCGGGGTGGTGAAGGGGTAGTGGTGAGCATTTTCTGGCACAGGGGTGGCTGTCAGAGGACAGTCAGTATGCAAGATTTAGTTCTCTCTTCCACCATGTGAGTCCCAGGGATGATTGAGATTGTCATGATAGGCTTTAAGTGGCTTTGCTTGCTGAGCCGTTACACTGCTCTCCCATTTTATGAATTTTTAAGTAGGAGGTTAAAACATGTTTTTTTCTTTTAAAATTTCAATTGTTTCAAAGTTGTCTTCATCACTGATATATATCACTGATATAGTCCTTAAGGATCTAGAATGTCAAAGCTCCAGATTTGACTTCTATCCTGCACTTTAGAAATATCAGCAACAGACTATGTGGTGTATTTTCTGAATGCTAGTGTTACATGGTACTGACATAGGTGCTATGAACTTAAAAAGAGATACTTACAAGTTGAAGGGACTTTAAAGTATATTTGAAGACTACCTAGGTGTGTCTAGTAATTTAATATTTATGGGTCTCTAAAATTTTGGTAGTTCAGAAAAAAAAATCAAGGAAACTTAGAAATTAAAGAAGGAGATAGTCCTTGGATTAGACCTTTAAAAGGTGAAAATTGCACATACAAAAGGAAACATACCTTTTCAGAAGGATTAGAAAGGGTCAATGAGATGGCCCAGCAGATAAAGGCACTTGCTGCTAAGCTTGGCTACCTGATTTCAGTGTTTGGGAGCAGATGTACAAGATGTCTAGAGTGAGAGACCTGTCCTGTCTGACATAGACACAGTTGTGTTGCACTGTAGCTCTGTGAAAACATGAGTGTATCAGACAGTAATACCTAGTTAGCTAGTGTTGTTAGGATATGGTACTTTGTTGGTTTACAGATTAGTGTATGCATAGTTAATTAGTTGTAGAATTAAAGGATAGATTTTTAAATATTTTTAAATAGATTTTTAAGTATTTGCAGAAATGTGGCTGTCTTCTTAAGTTGTGTTAGTTTGAATTCTCCAAAGTCAGCTAATACATCTTGTTTGATTCTAGCTTAGGGATGTCTGCTTTCCCATCACTGGCATTAGGAAACAGTAAAACCCCAGACTGAAAATGTCAGGTGATAAGTAGGAACTTGGGAGACAGTGGATTGGTACGGTCAAAAGTTGGAAGTCACACACCTTTGAAAGAAGGTCATCAGTGCTGTGCACTTGTGCTGTTTCTTCTGCTCTTAGAATGTTTACTCTTTCCGGAATTGTAAATGTAACTTGTGTGCCCCCTCCCCTATTAAGTTTCTTAGAGATAACCCTCAGTACCAACTCATTTATAATGTTTCATTTTGTTTTTAGGGCCACAGTCCCATTTTATTCTAGCCAGTAAAATTATATTATGAAGGCTTCACGCACACACAGAAGCCCACAGACAATCTTTCGGGCACTGATTTGCTGAAAATTTTTTGTCTATTATGTAAAATGGCCTTAATTACTAGTAGTTTATAGTAGCAGCCTTTTATCATATACCTTAATTCCTTTTCCAAAGTAAATTGCAAAATTTTAATGGCTGTTCCACAGGCCAATGAGATGGCTCAGAGGTTACATAAAGGCACTTGCTGACATGCATAATGACCTGAACTTGGGGTTGATTCCACGTGATGGAAAGACAGACTTGACTTCTGCAAGTTGTTCTCAGACCTCCATACTTGTGGCATTAAGTCACATACATGTGCACACACATACTGATAACAAATAATGTAATAGAAGGCTTTCCCAGATAATTTATTCTTTCTACAAAAAGAATTCCCACGCTTCTCTTTGTGTTCCTTTAAGTTACGTAGTTGTTGTACTAGCTCTGTCTGCTGGCTTTCTCATCTTCAGTAGTTCTTACTCATGGCTGATTTGGTTGGCTATTTCCATTCCTCATTAGTTTTGGAACACATTATCTTCTTTGCAAATCTAATGTGTTTTGTTGTGATTTTAAATTGAATACTCAGCAATGTGAATATTAAGTGCAGAATTTTGAAGTCTGTATCTAAAGAGTGTTGAATTTTTTAGGTGCCTGCCTAATGTGGGAGGTCCTGAGTTTAACCTCAGTATTGTCTCCCTTCCCCCAGGGGAAAAAGTGTTGGCTTTTGCTTTGGTAGACAGACATCTAAGTTACCTGTGGATCAACATGCTTTAAAGCTTGGATAGTACAGGTTTAGAGTAGTTTTCACTTGAGACTAGTTCAGCCTTGTTCTTAAAACTTGGTCTTTCTGGGCCTCCTTATATTCTAGATGCTCCATAAGGCCTTTCAGCTCAGTCTAGTTGGCATTCAGGTTTTCTTCTCATCTCTGAAAATCTTGGCATTGTTCAGCTTTTTTTTAGTATTTGACTTTTTCCTTTTCCATCTGCAGTTTCTCTCTTCAACTTCTGAGGCTTAGTTTTTTGAGACTTGAGACTACCGTGCATACTCTGCTTTGTAACTTTCAGCTACTTTAGCTTTCTTGCTGTCTGACCTCAGAGTTGGGTAGGATGATTGCGGTGCTGTGCTTAAGATCAAACTCCTGCTCTGTTCTCGAGGATATGCCTCCATGTAGTGTATGTGGGGCAGCCCTGGGGCTCATTAGATTTTGCCCAAGAATCATAGTTTTGGAATTATGGAAAGTCATAAAGTCATATGGAATTATGAAAATTTTGGAATATCTGAAAAGTCACTTTTAATTAATTTCCCCATATGTCTAAAAACAGTAAGGATTCTTTACTGTCCAGGGTAGTCTTTTATTTTATGTGTCTGAGTGCCCCTTTGTGTGTATGTGTGTACCAAGTGCTGCAAAGGTCAGTGGGCATTGTCTCCCCATGGAAATTGGAATTACAGATGGCTGTGAGGCACCTGATGTGGGTGGTGGGAATCAAACTCCAATCCTCTGTGTGAGCATCATGTACTCTTAACCACTAAGCTCCTGTCAAGGATAATCTTTGTTGGTAGGTGATATAGGTAAAATAAATAGTTTCTGTGGCCTTCTGAACAGTGATATAGTCCAGGTTGTCACAGTCTACTGTGATGGTAATACTGGGATGATAATCATGCTCTGTGCCATTTATGGCTATTGCTATTAAAATGTGACTTGTAAAGCTGAGGAGCTGAAAATATAAGTACTTTTTAAATTTAATAGCTCCATGTTACTGGATTCAGTAATGCAGCTTAGCTGTAACTTAAGGTTGATTCTCTTTTTTAGATTTCTCTCTATCTGTCTGTCTGTCTATCTATCTATCTATCTATCTATCTATCTATCTATCTATCTATCT